CGTACGTACGTAAATACACACACGTACGTACGTACACACACGTAAATGCACACGACGTACGTACGTAAATACACACGTACGTACACCGTATACGTACGTAAATCACACAACGTACATAATATACAGACATACGTATGCAAGGAAAATACACGCACGTACTATAGGTAATACACACACCATACATACTATAAGTAAATCCCGACACACGTACATACGTAAGCAAATACAGACACATACATACGTAAGCAAATACACACACACACGTACATACGTAAGTAAAAAAATACGTATGTCTACATACGTATGTAAATACACAGATATATGTATGTAAGTAAACACACACACGTACGTAAACACACACACGTACGTACATAAGTAAACACACACATGTACGTACATAAGTAAATACACACACATACGTACGTAAGTAAATACACACACATACGTACGTAAGTAAATACACACACGTATGTACGTAAGTAAATACACACACACACACGTGCGTAAGTAAATACACACACACGTACGTAAATAAATACACACACACGTATGTACGTAAGTAAATACACACACGTACGTACACACATGTAGGTACGTAAGTTACACACACACACGTAATACAATACACACACACATGTAGGTACGTAAGTAAATACACACACACACTGTAGTACTAAGTAAATACACACACACAAACATACGTACCTAAGTAAATACACAAACATACGTACCTAAGTAAATACACACACGTACGTACGTAAATGCACACACGTACGTACGTAATGCACGTACGTACGTAAATGCACACACGTACGTACGTAAATGCACACACGTACGTACGTAAATGCACACACGTACGTACGTAAATGCACACACGTACATACGTAAATGCACACACGTACGTACGTAAAGTGCAAAAATACACACACACACGTACGTGCGTACATACGTAAATACACACATACGTACATGCGTAAGTAAATACACATGTACATACGTGTAAGTAAATAAACACATACACACACGTACGTAAATAAAAATACACACACGTATGTAAGTAAAAATACACACACACACGTATGTAAGTAGAAATACACACACACACGTATGTAAGTAGAAATACACACACACACGTATGTAAGTAAAAATACACACACATACGTACATACATGCGTAAGTAAATACACACACACACTCACACGTGCGTAAGTAAATACACACACACACTCACACGTGCGTAAGTAAATACACACACACTCACACGTGCGTAAGTAAATACACACACACACACATACGTACCTAAGTAATAACAAACATACGTACCTAATAAATACAACACGTACGTACGTAAATGCACACACGTACGTACGTAAATGCACACACGTACGTACGTAAATGCACACACGTACGTACGTAAATGCACACACGTACGTACGTAAATGCACACACGTACGTACGTACACACGTACGTACGTAAATGCACACGTACGTACGTAATGCACACACGTACGTACGTAAATGCACACACGTACGTACACACACGTAGTACGTAAATGCACACACGTACGTACGTAAATGCACACACGTACGTACGTACACAACACGTACGTAGTAAAATGCACACACGTACGTACGTAAATGCACACACGTACGTACGTAAATGCACACACGTACGTACGTAAATCATACGTACGTACACACGTACGTACGTAAAATGCCACACACGTACGTACGTATAATGCCACACGTACGTACGTAAATGCACACACGTACGTACGTAAATGCACACACGTACGTACGTAAATGCACACACGTACGTACGTAAATGCACACACGTACGTACGTAAATGCACACACGGTAAATGCACACACGTCCGTACGGCACACACGTACGTATGCACACACGTCGTACGTAAATGCAAACACGTACGTACGTAAAATGCACACACGTACGTACGTAATGCACACACACGACGTAATGCGTACGTACACACACGTACGTACGTAAATACACACACGTACGTACGTACACGTACGTACGTACAATACACACCGTACGTACGTAAATACACACATACATACGTACACACATGTACGTGCATAAATACACACACACGTAGGTACGTAAATACACACACGTACGTACGTGCAAAAATACACACACACACGTACGTGCGTACATACGTAACATACGTACATCGTAAGTAAATACACACATACGTACATGCGTAAGTAAATACACATGTACATACGTGTAAGTAAATAAACACATACACACGTACGTATGTACGTAAATATACACACATGTACGTACGTAAATATACACACACGTACGTTTGTACGTAAATACACACACAAGTGCGTAAGTAAATACACACACGTGCGTAAGTAAATACACACACGTGCGTAAGTAAATACACACACGTGCGTAAGTAAATACACACACACTCACACGCATAAGTAAATACACAAAGTGGCGTAAGTAAATACACACACGTGCGTAAGTAAATACACACACACTCACACGTGCGTAAGTAAATACACACACACACGTGCGTAAGTAAATACACACACACACGTGTAAGTAAAACATCACATACAGCTAATAAAATACACACACACACGTGCGTAGGTAAATACAATACACACACGTGCTAAGTAAATACACACACCACACGTGCGTAAAGTAAATACATACACACTCACATGCGTAAGCACACAGACACGACGTAGTAAATACGTACACGTAACACACAGACACATACGTGTGTAAGTAAATACACACATACACACACGTACGTAAATAAAAATACACACACGTATGTAAGTAAAAATACACACACACACGTATGTAAGTAAAATACACACACACCGTATGTAAGTAGAAATACACACACACACGTATGTAAGTAGAAATACACACACACACGTATGTAAGTAAAAATACACACACACACGTATGTAAGTAAAAATACACACACACACGTATGTAAGTAAAATACACACAACACACGTATGTAAGTAAATAACACACACACACATACGTGCGTAAGTAAATACACACACACACTCACACGTGTAAGTAAATACACACACACACTCACACATGCGTAAGTAAATACACACACACACTCACACGTGCGTAAGTAAATACACACACACTCACACGTGCGTAAGTAAATACACACACACTCACACAAGTAAATACACGTACATACATGCATAAGTAAATACACACACACACACGTACATACATGCATAAGTAAATACACACACACACGTACGTACGGGCGTAAGTAAATACACACACACACTCACACGGGCGTAAGTAAATACACACACACACTCACACGTGCGTAAGTAACTACACACACACTCACACATGCGTAATACACACACACACTCACACGTGTGTAAGTAAATACAGACACACACTCACACGTGCGAAGTAAATACACACACGTGCGTAAGTAAATACACACACGTGCGTAAGTAAATACACACACACTCACACGTGCGTAAGTAAATACACACACACTCACACGTGCGTAAGTAAATACACACACACTCACACATGCGTAAGTAAATACACATACAGTCACACATGCATAAGTAAATACACACACACACACTCGTGCATAAGTAAATACACATACACTCACACGTGCGTAAGTAAATACACACACACACACGAGCGTAAGTAAATACACACACATACGTACATGCGTAAGTTAACACACAGACACATACGTGTGTAAGTAAATACACACATACACACACGTACGTAAATAAAAATACACACACATATGTAAGTAAAAATACACACACACATATGTAAGTAAAAATACACACACACACGTATGTAAGTAAAAATACACACACACACGCATGTAAGTAAAAATACACACACACGTATGTAAGTAAAAATACACACAGCGTATGTAAGTAAAAATACACACACACGTATGTAAGTAAAAATACACACACACACACGTATGTAAGCAAACATACACACACACGAATGTAAGTAAAAACACACACACACACGTACGTAAGTAAAAATACACACACACACGTATGTAAGTAAAAATACATACACACACGTATGTAAGTAAAAATACACACACACACACGTATGTAAGTAAAAATACACACACACGTATGTAAGTAAAAATACACACACACACGTATGTAAGTAAAAATACACACACATATGTAAGTAAAAATACACACACACACGTATGTAAGTAAAAATACACACACACGTATGTAAGTAAAAATACACACACACACGTATGTATGTAAAAATACACACACACACGTATGTAAAAACACACACACACACATATGTAAGTAAAAATACACACACACACATGTATGTAAGTAAAAATACACACACACACGTATGTAAGTAAAAATACACACACACACACACAAAAGTCAAATTACACACGCACACGTATGTAAGTAAATACACACACAAACACGTATGTAAGTAAATACACATACACTCACGTATGTAAGGAAATACACGCACACACACACACGTATGTAAGTAAATACACACACACACACGTATGTAAGTAAATACACACACACACACACACGTATGTACGTAAATAAACACACACACGTATGTAAGTAAATACACACACACGTATGTAAGTAAATACACACACACGTATGTAAGTAAATACACACACACGTATGTAAGTAAATACACACACACACACGTATGTAAGTAAATACACACACACACGCGTATGTAAATAAATATACACACACATGTATGTAAGGAAATACATACACACACACGTATGTAAGTAAATACACACACACACACGTATGTAAGTAAATACACACACGCGTATTAAGTAAGTATCCGCACACACGTGTGTAAGTAAATATACAAACGTATGTAAATAAATATACAAACGTATGTAAATAAATATACACACACGTAAGTATATGGATATTTACAGATATGCGCTTTTTCTCACCAGGAAGCTGCCCGACGCATCTCTGGCGTCACATTCGTCGGCGTGGGCGTGGTGTGGGTGCGCCAGCGAGTGCAGCGCTCGTTCCATCCGGCGCCTCATCTTGCTCGCCAGTGCTATTGCCTTAACGCCCACCGTTGCGTCCCGCCCATCTGTAGGCGATACAAGCTATAGACTAGAGTTCCAGTGTAAAGCACCAGGCATTACTCTTACCTTCCATCTTACGCCCACAGCAGACTGCTTTTCCGCCAATGAAGTTGCGAGGTCACACAAAGACTAGAAATATAATACAAGACCAAAAGGTCTTCCTTCTAGGGCTCAGTGAATGCTAGGTTGAATCTGATGGTTTATTTTCAGCAGAACGTGAGGTAGGAAATTGTTGGTGCAGAAGCTGAGGTCGTTGCAATGCTATGCCGTTTTCCGGCTTCGTCGCACTTTCCTTTCCGACGCGCCTGGCCACGTTATCTAGTCAACAAACCCCGTTTCATATAATATTCAAAAGCCAATATTACAAATTAAAAACATTCCCATTCAAAGTGAATTCGGTACTGCGTGGAGAAAAATCATCCTGGGATTTATTTGATCAGAGATCGAATTTCTGCGACAATGCAGAAATAATAACAAAAAAAAAACTGACTCCACTTACAGTGAAATGAAGACGACCTTGATTTATGGGTCTTTCATACACTTGATAAGCATTCTGGGGAATTAGAGATATCACATATTGAAAGATATTCCACAATTCTCACTTTAAATTTATACCGGCATCATTTTACATGCCTGCATATTCAACAGCTTTATTCTAGCACAGGCTCAATGGTCTTTCCCACTATAATACGTACTGGCTCACAGACAAGGGTTTCCATGGAGCCGGGTACATGCAACATTCACTGAAGTGAATGGTTCTACGAGCACTCGGCCACCAAGGAGTCAATTAGTAATCTACGGCACCTTACCTGAATTTCCCTTGCCTGGGGACCTCACCTGAATTTCCATTGCCTGGGGACCTCACCTGAATTTCCCTTGCCTGGGGACCTCACCTGAATTTCCCTTGCCTGGGGACCTCACCTGAATTTCCCTTGCCTGGGGACCTCACCTGAATATCCCTTGCCTGGGGACCTCACCTGAATATCCCTTGCCTGGGGACCTCACCTGAATTTCCCTTGCCTGGGGACCTCACCTGAATTTCCCTTGCCTGGGACCTCACCTGAATTTCCTTGCCTGGGACCTACCTGAATTCCCTTCCTGGGGACCTCACCTGAATTTCCCTTGCCTGGGGACCTCACCTGAATTTCCCTTGCCTGGGGACCTCACCTGAATTTCCCTTGCCTGGGGACCTCACCTGAATTTCCCTTGCCTGGGGACCTCACCTGAATTTCCCTTGCCCTCACCTGAATTTCCCTTGCCTGGGGACCTCACCTGAATTTCCTTGCCTGGGGACTCACCTGAATTTCCTTGCCTGGGGACCCTCACCTGAATTTCCTTGCCTGGGGAACCTGGGGGAATTGCTTCACCTGAATTTCCCTTGCCTGGGGAATTTCCCTTGCCTGGGACCTCACCTGAATTTCCCTTGCCTGGGGACCTCACCTGAATTTCCCTTGCCTGGGGACCTCACCTGAATTCCCTCGAACTTGAGTATATTTCTAATACACTTGTCCCTTTAATATCGATGCCGTAATTATATCATTGTCCTTACATTATCATACTAGCAAGAATGACAATATAAACGTTTCCGAAAATCAAAGAACATGGTTAACATGCGAGATATTCAATATAGCTATTGAATGCAGATGCATGTACGGCAAAGGTTAGAACTTTTATTTCTACATAAAATCGTCCGAAAATCAATCTACCTTTTGCAAAGATGTCTATTTGTATATATCAAAGCTACACGTGAGGCAGCTGCTCGCCCTTACACTGACGAGTTTTCATCACACTCACAACTTTTTCTCATGCGAGCTTCAACGGATTATTTATATTCCGAGTGGCGTCACAACTTGACTGACCTGTGTCGTGAAGGTCGCCCTCGCGGGCTGGCAGGTAGGCGTCGACCAGCGTGTGGGCGGTGTTAAGCACCCGGTCCGCAGCGCCAGCGGCGAGTCGCCCGCCCCGACTAGTAGTGATGACGTCAACCTGAAACGCACCAAAGGCTTGTTCATCCGCTCAGGGAGGACAGCAATCTGACGCGCTATCATATTGATTCCACTAATCTCATTAACCGGTCGAGGTAGGAGAAAATAACCTTCGAGAAT